TCTGAGGTATTCCAAACCCAATGCAAAAGCCAGCTGTTATGGGCCTACCAGACCTATCCCCACAAAATTAAACACTTTACTACTGTTAATAGGGTTATACCGGTGTCCTCAAAAGTCAAATCGTCAGAGTTCATTACAAAATCATCTAGTATCAAGACAAGTTGCATGCTGTTCAGATGAACTGTAAAATTGGCCATCCTCTTGGTAAATTTCATCCGACTCATGACATTTGACTTGTGATGCTCTTTCACCTTATTCCTGAAAATTTGTGAAGGAAAAGTTGCGGCCTGATTTTTGAGACAACTTTGTGTCATTAGGCGTGGGTCTTAGGGATGACATGCATTTCAACATACATGTACCTATGAGTTAGGCTTAGACTTAGCTCTGTACAAAGAGTCAGATGCAGCCTTAACTTATAGCGTTGTGGTGCCGTATTCAAAGTTTTTTCTGGATCCCATTTCCTTCCATAGTCCTTTTGGTTTTCCAAAAGGAGTGAGCATTGGATTCCTGCGAGTGGCATCCTTTCTGCCCAGTGTACCGGAGGGCCCGTGTAGTCATGAATCCACAAAGCACTGAATCCACATGCGCTGTCATGTTGCCCAAACCTGAGTTCTGCAAGGGTAAAAAATGAAAGTCTTCAGTTGATTCACAGACAATCCTAATGGAGTGACAGTGTTCAGTCCACAATTTGGTTTTATTTATTTGTTTTCTATATTTGTGCACCTTTAGGAAAAGTGGGCCGACCCCGGAAACACAGACCAGAACCTGTTACCCCTAAGAGGCCCCGGGGGCGACCAAGAGGCACAGGAACCAGGAGGCATGGGTTCTCATCCTCACGAGGTGATTAAAATACTTATATGTAGTACCCATACTCAGCTGTGAGTATTACTCGAGTTCTGAGACTGGAGTCATACTCTGCATCAATTTAGAACTCATGCTCATTATTAAGGTCTGCTGGGCTCCGTGCTGTTTTACTCTTTCACGGAGGAAGTGAATTCTAAATAGTAGTACATGCACATATGATCACCAGTGTGTTCTAGCTAGAAACTGAACAGTGTCTGCCCTGATTGACATCACACCAACAGCGCCCTCAGTTGTGCAGAAAAACTCGGACAATTTTAAATGATTTAAAAGTGCACTTTGTAGTACTCCCAACCCACAGAGGATGTTAAGTAGTTTTCATACACTGAGGAAGAGTGTGGAGATGCATGAAAAGTTTACCATTAGAGACATTCATCGTAGGGACCTTTAAACAAACAGAGGACTCGCCCATGGCGCATGAGCTGCGGCTGGGCCGAGAGGAGAAGAGACGGGGCCCCCGCAGCCGCCACAGCCGGGTGCCCAAGCCACTGCGGGGCCTGATGGGGGAGGCTCACCTGTGCTTTGCCCGAGGCAGCCACCAGGAGGCAGCCAAGATGTGCCTGGAGATCATCCGGCAGGTGCCGCGTTGCCCGGACCCCTACCAGCTGTTGGCCATGATCTACGAGGACAAGGAGGACATGGAGAGGTGCCTGCAGGTCTGGATATTATATTTACGTGGGAATGGTTGCGGGCACCCTTTGGCCATGATTAGGGCGCATCCTTAGGCAGACCTCCATGAAGAATTGTTATACAGAGTTGTGCGATCATTTTCCAATCTAATGAGCAAGCAGTCAGAGGTACTTCAAGCAAGCACCTGATATCAATGCTGTTCGTGGGCAGTAAGGTGGACATGCATGCAAGTGACATGGAGAGTGCCCAACCATTTACCAATCAAACTAGCAGGGTTCAATAGTTTCGTATGGGAACAGTTGAGGGCACTCTTTGGCCAATTCAGAATTGGCTTGAGTTGGGCCTAATTGCTGATGTGTGATCGGAGTGTTTTTGTAGTTCCAGAAGAAATTCAATCTTGCATCAAGTCTAGCTTTCACTGGCAAAGGGATCACTGCTTTTGTGTTCTTCCCAGTTTTCCCTGATTGCAGCCCACTTGAGGCCCAGGGACACAGAGGAGTGGACGCGGTGTGCTGAGATGTCCCTGGAGCAAGACGACATCCAGCAAGCCATACGCTGTTACTCAAAAGGTAGAACCCAAGTCGTCAACCCTATTGGGTAATGTACATGTGTGGCCAAGGAAAGCTAACAGTTTGTTGAATCAAACTCAAAACCATGTGCATAATTCTGCACACTTGTGTCCTCAGGCAGGAGTCTTTGCAACCGACTGCTTCTCCCCCACCCTGAAGTGAAAGAACCTGTAAGAGCAGAGATTAGACTTTTGTGCCAAAATAGCAGCACTGCTGATAAATGATAGATTTAGATGTTTTACTGACAGAGTGAACAGGAGTCATAATTTGACAAAGAGATTTTCTGTTTTATCCCCCCCACCTACTCTCATAGCTATCAGGTACAATCCCAAGGAGCTGTCCAATCATCTGGAGAGGATCCATCTGTATGAGCAGGTGAAAGACACCAAGAAGGTGATGGAATGCTACCAGATCATGCTAAAAGCCCTGCCGGACGACCAGGGGAAACAGTACATGCAGCTGGCCAAAGAGCTAGTCAAGGTAAGAAGACTACTTTGGGTAAGAAGACTACTTTGGGTAAGAAGACTACTTTGGGTAAGAAGACTACTTTGGGTAAGAAGACTACTTTGGGTAAGAAGACTACTTTGGGTAAGAAGACTAC